TGGAAGTGCTGGTTGATTCTAGAGGTGAAAGGGGTGGAGGAGCCGCCAGTGGAAACATGGATCGTCCAAGGCGGTAAAAGTATTGCATTGTGCTCTCTGTAGTTCTCGTGCTCAGATGTTTTGTGTGGTTAATTTACGCGATATTCAGGCTTGCCCATCCCCAAAACATCCACTACGTCAACAAATCGACAATGCTGTGGACTCTTCCCATGTAAACAAATCCGCGCTCAGGATAGTTTATGCTCAGTTTGTTCAATTTCGTGAAATGCGCCTCTGTTCTGCGTGCGTGAAGACCGATAGATGGGGTAAAGGCACACTTGTTGAAAAGGCATCACTTCTTCGGGCAAAAGATGATGAGGTAAAGCGAAATTAATCAACCAAGTTTGCGTAATGTACTTTTTGAAAATCTTGTAAGAACTTAAAAAGGTACCGCCGCGAGTAAGGGAAATCAATGGTATTTTGACTGTGCAAACAAAAGCATCTTGAGGCAAAATGTCAATACTTCGGTGCATTAAGAGGCATCAACGCTGTCCTCAAAATTGATTATGCGAGTTCGAAAAGGTCTTACTCAGCATGGCAGCATGTTCCATTCTGGGTCGTTTGTAAGAATTTGACAGTCAATCTAGGCGGGCCATAACAGTGCATCACTTTAAAGTCATCTGTCTGGGATCGAGCGCTTTGTAGGAGGTACGTGCCTAGTAAATTTCCAGTCAGCGTTCATAGGGTGTCAGCCGGCCTGCCCCTCCCCTAATTTCCGAGCCGTTACCCACATGATAGGCGTACATTTCGTGACTATGTAGTACCTGTTCGATGACGGTGACGCCGTCACATCACTATACGCGGCCGTTTTCTATGTAAGAGAGGATCGGAGTTCCCATTCCCCAATTCTCCGCAGGGGCGCCGGCTTCGACCGATGTAGGGACTAGCGCCCTTCTGGTCCCAAATCAGATAGCGGGCGGACAGCGCAAGCGGTTCATTTACGGGCCTATCGACCCTGCCGTACGTCAGCTCCTGCACCTTGTCTCGTCCGCTGCCTCCTCATAACCCGCATTCCATCATTAGGTCCTCTCACCACTCCTCATCCACGCTTTATTGGGGTCGCCGTGTCCCCTCGCCCGCGTCCCCGGGTTGCTGGTGGCTGAGTCTCTCAGGCACCAGCAATATCCGAGAGGTATGATATAATATCAGATAGATATGAGATATATGGTAGCTTCGCTATTGGGCAGGATATCCAGGGGTGCGAGGGTCCGTAGGGCGTCATGCAGGTTTATCGGTCCGTCGCTCGCGCTGTGGCTGGGTGCTTCGTGCGGGTAACCGCTTGGGGTGCCTGGCCTCATGCAGCGGCTTAAAGGGAGTGCTCCACATTTATATGGGGTTTGGAACTGAAATAGCCATCCTGAAGGCCTTTCAGTGCAGTTCACAACCCTGCCGGTCATAAGACCTAAAGCCCTGTAGTTTCTGAACTACACGACTGCAACAATGGGGAGAGTACTTGAAGTTTGCGTTGGCGCTCATGACCGCATAATGACGTCATTCAAATCCTGAAGATCCGTAAGCCATGCGGCAATCAAGGCCTATAAAAGTATAATGGTTTAGTCGTCCATATGTGGCATTCGTGAGTGCGATTTCTAGATATAAAGGACGTCAGTGGGCTCTCAGTCAATATCATGCAGGGCGCGATGACGTAATCAAACGATGTAGTATCGAGGAGCATATTTACTTAACATGGAAATTATGTTGTCTAGGGCAGTCTTTTCTACTTAAAAGTATACCAATAGTTACAAATGATCTTGTTCCATGAAATCTGACGCCTGTTTGATTATCCTCAAATGTGGAACATTGCCTTTAAGGGATCAAGGGGCGGCGGCGCTGAACCACGACGAGAACGGGGAGGGGTCTCTCCGGTTACACTGGCCATGCAG